GAAATCTGTGGACCCAATTCTCATGGTCTTGACATGGATTACGTTGTCATGAATCACGCTGACAAAAAAGGTATCGCGTGAAATATCATCTAAAATAGATTTGTTGTGAAATTCAAATGCTGTAATGATATATTGTCAGCTTATTTGCTGTAATCGTAAATGTCAAAAGGGTACTTTTGGAAGAACTTTGTGTCCTTTGCTGAAGTCACCCGTTTTCCATGTGATTTCATCTTTGCCAGTTTTTCAGGATGTAATCATCTGGTGCGGATGATTGATCGAGGAAAAATAGAGGATCATTTCAAGTTTCTCATCATGCCTCTGGTAAGTATGCCATTAGTCATAATGGCAAAATGATTGTTAGATAGGTTCATATGAGCTCATGACGTCAGGGTAAAAAACTTACTTTCTCAAGCATAGCCAGTACACCCCAGTTCTATTCACTTGTATCAGAAGTCATGCAAGCCTAAGGTAGCGTTCATAGCTGCGTGTTCACTTGCCGGCACAGTTCCGGCATGGCGCTGGTACGACCCTGGAAGGTGCCGTGCCCGTGGTAGGCAAGTCTGGCGCAGTTTCAGAGAAAACAACCTCCTAGTCAGGCATCACAGACTTAACAATCGCCAAAGCATCAAACAGTTTTTCAGCTGGGCGATAACCTTACAAAAATACGACATCAATTCGTAGACGGCCGTTTATCGCTGTCATCTGGACTGCGTCTTGCTTTCCTTGCCTTATCTCCTATTCAAGAATTGCACAATATTGGGTTTGTTCATCGAGACATCAAGGTGAGAGATCTTTTCTTGATTTTGTTGGGCATGCCAGGTGATATGTGCGATTAATGTTATATCATTTAGTGCTCTAACTTTTGCCTTGCTCCACATTCTAGTCGAGGTAATACACAGCTGATACTCATTGATTATGGGGTTTGCCGAGCTTACAAGGACAAAGCCGGAAATTTGAAACCTCCCAGAGAAGAAGTGCGATTTCGGTAAGAATTGTTTTCGCGTAAAAGTCATATGATGCTTATCTCCTTTCTATCACGGAGCACTCATTTTCCTTAACCCTTTAGAACCTGGTGGCTGTAGCAATGAGCTGTAGCAATAAGTGATCAGAAGTTGATGGTGGCACTGCCACCATCAACTTCTGATCACTTATTGCTACAGCTAGCTCCACACAGACTTTGCCTTTCAAATGGTGGTTTGCAACCCCCATCTCATTCATGGCGGGGTTAGCAGTATAAGAATCTTTGTGTGCAATTGAGTTTCAACTAATCAATAACAGTTTCCTGTCGAAGTACCGGCCAAGAAAATGTCAGTTATTCCCTTAAATATTGAGATGCGTTCAAAGTATTATCGAGAATGTGAAGTACGGTGTTGTGTGAGAACAGTTACTGTGAATTTGCGATTCCACCTTTGTTGGAAAAAATCAAAAAATTGGAAGAAAGTTTGAAGAAAAAAATACAAAATAAAAGCATTTTGTTTTCGAA